GAGAAAATCTGAAGAGAAAAGTGTATTCTGAATTATGCTGGTTCTACAGCAGTGATGCTTACTATATTTAAAAAAATAAATAAAATCCTGTGAAACTGGTTCTGGTTTAAAAATCTTAAGAAGTAGATGGAGAATTAAGCAGTAGTGCCAATTACAAAATGAGAACACTGCGGGATGCATAATAAATACAGAACTTGGTTTGCTGACTGAAACAAAGTGCTTTATCGTACATAAAACTTCCTTGTTGTGGGGTTCAGAAGAAGGAAGATGAGCTGAGGTTGTAACTTGTAAAACACTAACAGAAATATTGCTTTTAATTCCAGAGACTTTGTGAAAAGTGCCTGGGCTGACATCGAACGGTTTAAAGAGCAAAAGAATCGCGATTTGAAGGAGGCTCTTATAAGCTATGCTGTTATGCAGATTAGCATGTGCAAAAAGGTATGTGTAGCTTGTGAAAGGCTAGGGTAGTGTATATATCATGTCAGCAGGGGATCAGATGCAAACTTTCAGCATCTAGGAGCGTTGCAGTCACAGAAGGTTGGAAGTCACTAGCGTAAAACCTCCCACATGTTCCATCCTACTCTAACTCTGTGACATGTTAATGTTGATATATATATAATAGGCAGTGTGGTCCAATCCCAGTGTGGTCTCTGCCTTGTTCTTGTGTGGAGTTTTGTGGTGTTTTCTATAGAGTCTTCCATGGAAAAAAAGTCTGAGGTTTGCAAGCAAATTATATTTCCGTCTATTTTTTGCCTTTTTAATATTTTATTATTATTTTTAAAGGGAATTCAAGTTTGGACAAATGCAAAGGAATGCTTCAGCAAGATGTGATTATCTGGAAATGGAATTCCTCCTCCAAGTGCCAGAGAATGGAAGCACAAACGTTTAACACCAATGTTAAGTTGTTACATGACCTACATATAAATCATGAAATAAATGAGTTGAGTGAATAGTTTTTCTTTCTGCTGATTGTAATTGTTAATAAAGGACAAAAAGGTTATGTTATTAAATGTTTAGCTCTGACTGCCACTACTGTGGCATGTTTTATATGTGGTAGCAAATAATTCAGGGGTAAGAGTTACTGAAAACTACAACTCTGTACTTGGGCAAAGGTGTAGGGAAAGTTATCCCAGAAAGTATGAACCGAGCTGTTCTCTCTGAGACTTGTGAAACACCATGCTCCGTAATGTATAGATCACTTCCAGATGCCCTTTTTTTTCAGCTCTTGCTGTTTAGAATTTGTAATGCTCAAGGGTGCTTTGGTTTTATAATAGGACACACAGTTGTGTTCTTGAGGTTTACACCACAGGAGGGACAAAAAAATGAAATTGTAATGCCAAGGGTTCATATTTAAATGCCTTTGCATGTCCATAAAGAAATGTGCTTTTCCAAAGGTCAGGTTAAGCAGCTCCTGAGATGTTTGAAACTCTCTACAGTAGAGGTGTTGTACAATGGTTTGATACAATATTCTGCATTTACTGGTTCCCACCTGAGTTTTGATATGGGCATTGATTTCTTATCAAACTTCTTCCTGCAAGTTAAGGAAACTGGTGATCCAGCTGAGCAGCAAAACCAAAAACAAGGCTGGTTAAGAAGCAGATGCAACTTCTGCAACTTCTGTTTGGTTGTTTGGAACCTGTTTACATTAGATGTGAATCTGGTTTGTGGTACCTCTTCTTGTAACTGAAGTGGTTTGGCTCGTAAACGAGTAGTCCTTAGTGGAGATGCTGAAATATAAAGTCTGGTGTGATTTTTGTAGTAATGAAGAGCAGTGATGTACAGAATCCGCAATGAACTAAGGTATCTGTCTGGCTCTTTTAAGGATGTTTCTGTGTTTAACGTTTATAACATGATATCACCAGTATAACATGATTTGCAGTTACAGGTACTTGCATTAAATGTTGCCAGTTATGAAAAACATTTACCACTGTCTAATATGGGGCTTTTTCTACGTATTTAAAGTTCCTGAAGTCTTGTGGAATTCATCAGACTTGATTGCTAATCCTACAGGAAGCTTCGTAACATTCTCTTGGAGAGTGTATTTAATTTTTCCAGATTATAACACTACTCAGATCCTTTTTTTTTTTCTTTTGAGATATTCCAGGAAGTCTTTAGAAGTTGTTTTGGTAATTTATCAGTAATATCATTACTTGACATGTCCCATGTCACTTTTGTCTCTGTGGCATTTTTTCTATAAAATCATTGTGAAGAATTCATAGACCTGGTGTACACTACAACTCAAACTGGAAGTAATGTACTGGTCGCTTTGATAGCAGTATGTCAGCTTTCTCAAAGCATTTGACAATGACACTTCTGAGAAATGATATGGACAGAAGGAGGTCTCCATTTAATATTTACAAGGAGAAGTGTTCTCTTCAGAAGGATTGCAGTATCCAATTCTGATACAGGTGGAAGGACTTTTACATTCCAAACCAAGAAGTTGCACACTTGACATATTCAGTAAGCCTTCTAAAGGAGTGGTGCCTTAACACAATACCATGAGGCGCTCAGAGTAGGTATTTTTCATGCACTTTGATTTTTGGTAGATCTTTCTGGTGCCTCTTTCCATAATTCACTTGCTGTACAGCTTACTATAAATGTATTAGTATGCCTTTTTTCCCTTGCTAGTTGTACTAAGTTTAAGAAGGGAACAACACAGTTCTTGTAAGTTTTGTGCCAATAAGCTAAATAAAATTGCTCTTTGATATTTTTGTTATGCTGTTTTTGTAAAAATGCTGTATTTTCCCAATGCTGACAAATGTTGCTCACTGTATTGAATTCAGTTCTTGGCCATCTCAAACAATCTCCGAAATTTGGTTTTAAAATTTAAGAGGTAAGTTGTGCACAACTAGTTGATTCACCTTTTAGGTGAAGAATATAGCATCTAAATCCAAAACAAGATCCTTGTTATAATCCAGTTTTGATCCCTTTATAATCCAGTTTTGATCCCTGCTTTGTTTTTGCCCAAACAGAACTAGCTGTCTGAATTGCATGGATGTCATCTGGATAAGAGAAGATGCAGTTCAAAAGGGTTTGTGATGTTTGGCAGAACTTGGGTGAAAGCTTAGTTAAGGGTAATTTGAAATAGCTTAATTCCCTTTACTTTTGCTGTTTCCAGATTTGCATTGCATGCAGTCTTGCATGCATTTACTTGTGGATCTTAGCAAACGCTAACGGTTCCTCCCCCTCTTTTCATTTTTTGTCTTTTAAAGAGGAAATCATCTAGTTAATGTCTGTTTCCATTTGGTTAATAGAGTCCACATGACAGTGCACGCTCACAAAGTGTGCATTTTTCCAGCAGAGATTTAGCTTCTGTAACTCAAGCCCCTCTGCCTTGGCTTGCTTCCTTCTCTGATCCAGTAAACATCAAAAACTGGTGGAGGGCCTTGAAAATAACAGCGCCCAGGTAGACCACTTCAACTTCATGTCACCCAAATGCTCATATGTACAACACCTTACCTATGTGGACTATCTGACTTACTGACAGAGCTGTCACTTCTGCCACAGGCAGGGATTATCAGTGGTGGTGCTGCCCCGACCTTCGCCTGCTACTAGCAGGACCTTGATTTGTCAGTGCATTTTACTGGCTACTGTTGCTTGTGAAATGCAGCTAGGGTGAGGGAACCAGGTGAAACTGAAAGGTAAGATGTTTTTCTGAAGGGTCTTATCTCTTTTAAAATGTTCTACTTAAATACCTGACTTCTTCACAAAGCAGAATTAATTTAGCAGCTCCTGGAGTGAGGCTGGGCTGGGCTGCGAGTGCTGCCTCCTAGGAGAGACTTTGTTGTCCTGTATGCTTCTCCCTGCTACTGAAATTCCCGTGTATTTGTTGAAGAAACAAGAAACATACTTGAATGTTCCCTAAAGGATTACAGAGAAGGCATTTGCCTTATTTTCTCTCCCTTTGCCCCCAACTTGTCTTGCAATGGCAGGGCAATGGTCTAACTCATGTTTTTGTTCTCATGGTCTGTGCATTCCTGGAGCTTCTCTTGTGTTTGCTCCTAGTGCCTCCCCATGGAGCTTTATCTGTTCAATGAAAATCCTGCTACGGGGCTGCCATAGAAATAAGGCAAACAAAGGAAACAACTGGAATGAGGGCTGCTAAATGGGAGTAGCAGCTGCAGTGCCAAAATCAAGTACAGCATGCTTGTGTACCACCAGCAAATGCAGCCTCCCCACCCCACACACACACTAACACACTTCTCCCTTGATTCTTCCTCTGCTGTTTTCTGACACTTACTGGTAAAACACAGCGTCACTGAAAGGATTTTGCCATAATGACTTACACTGCAGTGTCAGGTGCAGAGGCAAAACATTGCTGACTTTTGGTTGCTATTGAATGGCTTCTGTAGGCTGATAATGTGTTTTCTTTCCAGAAGTTTTTTTTTTTTTTTTTTGACTGATTGATACCTTCTACAATCTCCTATTTATTTATTTTAGCCAAATTAGAAATTCTCGGATGTGGAGGAGAAGGATTCCAGGTAGTGGTGGTGCAGCGTTTAAAGATGAGGTGAGATGGCACCATGCTGGGAGAGGAAGGGAGGTTAAACTGTATAAAAGCAAAGAAAGGTTTTGGGAAGAGATGCACGGAGAGGGAAAGTGAAGAGGTAAGATGTAGACATGGGGTTGGTGGAAGAGCTGGGGAGGAGAACAGAAGGAAAGCATCCATAGCTGGGATGTGCCTTGTGCAGAGGGGGGAAGCAGTGCTGCATCCCCCTTGTCTGGGAGAGAGGGCAAAATGGGGACAGGAGATAAGGACATTTTGAGAGCTGTCAAAGACATGAATGGACTGCCTGTAATACTGATGATGGCCAGCCCAGGTCTGAATTACACTTGTGGTGGTGGCTGTGGTCTCAAAGCTGAGTTGAACACCAATAATGGTGTAACATCTATTATAACATCTCTTCCACTTGGAAGGAGAGATTTAATTTTCAGCCTGATACTATATTTTTAATATCTCTTTAATTTTTATTTTTATTATTATTTTTGAATACATAAGATAGGAGAAGATGCTTCTGCCTTTGAAAGCCTAACATAAACTCGGTGGAGACCCGGTCCTGCAACCACCAGCACAATCACGCACACCGATGTGACCCAAGCAGGCTGCCCCATGGAAATCCCAGGACCAGCGGGCATTAAACAGCTCGCCCATCCTCAGCAAGCGCTGTCTGTGCTCGGGACATCTCATGGCATGCGAGGAGCCCAGCTCTGGCTGTGCACCTACAGACCCCTTAAGCGGGCCGGGAGCGGCTCTGCGCGCTGGGCGCCTCGCCGGGAGCCGGGGGAAGGATGCTGCGGAGAGGAAAACGCAACCCCGACCGCCCTCTTGTGGGTCTCAGGCGCCGCTTCGCAGGGGCCGGGGGTGTAGCCGGAGAGGTTTCGGTGCAGGATTGCACGAGGAGTGCGCTCGCTCCCGCAGGGTGCCGCTACCCAGGCGCGGTGACTTGCAGGAGCTTCAGGAGCTCGTGGCCAGGTTCCTCGGTCGCCGTCGCACCGGGGGCAAACGCTGCCGTGATTTGGGCTTAAAGGTGGGTTTCTGGGCTAGCGGCACGCTTCTGATCCTCGGAACTGCTTGGAAGGGGTGCTGGCGGCACGGTCAGCAGGAGCAAGCTGTGATGGTTCATGCAATTTGCTCTGCAAACGCTGGGAAGGTTGCCCTCGCCCGACGCTGCTTTGAATTAGGGTTTTCTTGAAGCGTGTGCTCTCTGATCCCAGCCTTGAAACTCTCCGGTGACAGTGGCCAAAGCTTACGCTGGTTGTTCCAGAGGCTAAAAGCATACGCTTTCTTTCCAGGCTCATTTGTCTGTTTTAACTTCCAGGCTGTGTTGGGAGGCTTTCGCCTGCTCCCCTCCCAGGGTGTTTCTGCCTGCAGGAGGCAGTCGGGAAGAGCTCCTCGTGCGTGGCTGCTACATCCATGCTATTGCTCTGTCAAGGAAACTATGAGCTGTTAACACCAGAATCAACCCGACATGGTCTGTTTTCCATGAACATCACGATTGGCATTGATCCCTTTTAATTCAGCATCAACTATTGTTTTCCCAGGAATTACTTTCAGACTGACAGGCCTATAATAATCCAATCTCTCTAATGATATATTTTTATAAATAGGCAAAATATTAGTCGTCTTCCAATTTTGTGGGGATTGCTCCTCAAATTCAAAACTTGCTGAAAATCAGTACCAGTGGTTCAGAGATCTCCCATGTCAGGACTTCTGTAAGGCTTGAGAAGAAACTGTAGAGACCTGAGAGGCATTAATGCAAGAAGCTGATCCCTAGTGCCGCACCCTGGATGCGACTAGGGAGAAATGACCTCCTTGTGGTACAGATAACGCACAGATATGGTTGAGCAAGGCTGCACACACAGCATGATTTATTTTAAGCATCCCCGTAGAATGAAATTAAAAGAATATCCTTAGATGTTGCATATCTAAACTGAATTATTAGGGGTGAGGAATTCTCCTTTCTAAAATCCTTCTCAGTGTTAAATCTTCCCTGAGCACATCTTGTGATGACTGCCAAATAACAGGGCAAGTTGGTCTGGAGGGCTGCTAGGAGAGAGCCTTCTCCAGACGCCCTGGCTGCTCCCCTGGAGCTCCTGCTGGGGGAGAGCTGCAGAGAAGCTCCGGGTGTGACTCTGCTGTGCTGCCGCCTTCGTACGTCCTCGAGTTCCTCCTGCCGGCATGCCGAGTCCTGCGGCTGTAAGCAGTGTTTGTCCAAATGTTTTCCCAAACCTTCAGCAGTTTATCGGGCAGGTGACAGCTAAAGGAACTGACTGTTAACGGGGTCGATGGCTGTGTCTCACCTGCTTTTTGGTCCAGTTTTTGGAATTGAAATGTTTTTCAGTACTCTGTATTTGATTTCTCTGCATTATTGTTAACAACTCTTCTGTTTCTGGGGTGTGCAGGGCCTGTGCTGGGAACACTTTTGTTCTTTTTTGTTCTTTTTACTACTTAAGAAGCTTATTCTCACTGCTAGTTCTGCTGGCCATTGGTTTCTCCTTGCTGCCTTACAGATAACTGATCATTCCTAGCCTCTAATTCCTACCTGTGGCTGGATTTACTATTCCTTCCCCATCCGTAATACTTTACCTGTTTCTATTTCTCCTCAGAGACATGATGGGGATTTGAATGGGTGTTGCCTTTTCCAATTCCAGGGCACTCTAAAATACTCTCAGATAATTTCTGGTGATAGTTTCCGTTCTGCTCAAATTCCTTCTTCCAGCTGATTTGGTCACTGCTATTTTTAGCTTCAAAATGCTAAATATGTGGTGCTTAGCTGGGCCTTTTTCTGTTTCCTTCTAACAAATACAATGATTGTGATTACAAGGCAACTCACTGGCTGCTCAGTTTCATGTTACTTTTAAATTTGAAAACATTTCCTTTTGCCATCCAGCATAGAACTTCCCGCACTGGAGTTAAATAAAAATGCATCTCTGCAGCTTTTGAAAGTGTAAAGCGTTTGTTCAGGAGGTGTCTCCGGGATCGGCATCAGACATGGTATCGCTTTCCCATGCCACATGGATAGGGGGTTAACTCACCTCACGTCCCATTTCCTGAGCTCCTGGAGGTGCCAGCCAGCCTCCCTTTGCGTAGCTGTCCTTCGCTCTCCTGTCTCCAGCCAGTGGTACTTTGTCCTTTTGTCTCATGTTTAGAAAACTACAGAAACTCTTGCTTAGGTTTGATATGAACCACATTGCTCACAGACACTTCTTTTTCCCCACATTCCTTAAAGATGGAGTGACAAGCCTCCTCCAGCTCAGTGGTCCAAGAATTCCTCAATTGCTTGCCAGCATTTGTCTTCCACTCCACTGATGTCTTGGTGGCATGGTGACCAGTGTTGGCTTCTCACAGAGGAAAATCCTTCTGCCTCAGGTAGGAGACGTGGCACGCAGCAGCAGGTAGGAGGTGCATTTCCATGACTGTCCGTATCAGTGCAATATAATGCGCTTCTCTCAGAAGCTGTTCTGGATCCAATGAGCGGAAAAGCAAATGGTTGTGTGGCTGTATCTGAGCTCTAAATCTAGATAGTAGACTGCCTTAATCTGGGAAAGAAGGGAGAAAATAAAGTGCTGGTAAAATGAAGCCGATGGTCTCTGAGGTCAGCGTGCACCAAGGACATTCCTTTACCTCAAAGTGTCTGAAGGGGCTGATGCTCAGAAGCATAACCTCTTCTTACCTTCTGCCAAGGGGCAATCTGACCCCCATGTCACCAAAGAGGGGATCTGGAGTCGTTTCTGTGCAGTTTTCCTGTCTGTCCAAGGGCGCTGGATGCGAGACGGATTCAGTCACGTCCCAAGGTAAGGGCTTCAGGTGGGCTCAACGGCTGGCTCCCCACAGACCCCTCTGTCTGCATCGACTGCTCAGGGAGTTGTAGAGAGATAATTAGATCTTGGAGGTAGTCTGCCCTAAATAAGGAACAAAAGCTGTGGTGGATTGTTTTGGTTCTGCTTTTGAAGATTTTTGACCCTCTTGTGTCTGTGAAAATCAGAAACTGGGACTTTTAAAGATCCGTCTTGGAAGTGGTCTGGAAATATCCACTTAGGGCTTCCTTTTGCTAAAGAAGAGCAGTCTTGAAGATATTTTTTCCTTTGTAAAAGAGAAAGAAGCGCAGGTCCATGTGCAGCTGTTCTCTGTGCTTGAGGCACGCAGATCCCAGAGATGCAAGGCTCCAGCTGGAGAGCTCGGTGCTGCGTGCTGGGGTAGGTATCGTCTGCATCTTGCCTAATGGCAGCGGTGCAGGCTTGCAGAGCCCTCTGGCAAAGAAGGGTTAACTCATGTCTGTTTGCACCGGGCAGCCGCTAATCCACAAAAGAACGTGTTCCAACAGCAAAAATAAATCTTGTCTGTACCTGCGCTTGCTGGCTCCCACTGGAGCCAAATCGCAGCAGTCGCGGTTCTTACCTGGCTCCTGCTCAGCGCTGCTGCTGGGTTTGCAGCATTGCATGCAAGCGGACTGGGGCTCAGAGCACCCACGCCAAGCACGGGGAAGGCTCTGGTGGAAGGTGACAGCCTGTGTGTGGTCTTGCAACATGATCTCCCCCTGCTTGTGCCTTCGTGGGAGCTGACTCGCCTGCCCTGTGCACCGTGTGCCAGTCGCTGCTCTCCAGATGTCGTCGCAAACGTGAGTGTGTGGTTCCTGGTGACTCACAGCCCTGCGGTGGTTTGTTTGTCTCTGGGCACTGGCAGGAGCACCTGTGAAGCCTCAGATTTCAGGGTTTCATCACAAAAGCTCATGGGTGCAGCATGCCCAGGCAACAGGTGGCACAATGGCAGCGGCCGCACACAGCGAGCCCACGCCACGCAGTGTTAAAAGTGGTGTGGTTTGGTTCAGAAGCCTGCAGCAGAGAAAATCAAAACTAGACTTAAAAATGAAGAAAATAGAAAGGATTTAGGGCGTGATCTTTAAAAGCTGAACAGTTGCTGCAGGGTTTCTTCTTCTTTAGCTTTCCATATTAGCCCTTAGCTTTGCTCTGAAAATCAGACCATTCATCATGAATTTTGAGAAGATACTCTGGAAACCTTCACCTGCTGTGCAGTAGCCATCACCGCAGTATCTGCGGTTGCCAGTAGTTTGTATGAGTTCTTCAGAATATTCCCTGTGTTAGGGAAATGAAGGCAAGTTTCCACCTGAGATGCCATGGTGGGAAAAGTGCTTGTGGTGGCTGCATCACAGCCAGGTGTGATGGGGAGGGTGGTGGAGGAGAAGCTGCCTCTGACACTGACAGCACTCACAGTAAAGGGACAACGTGCCAGGCAAGCTGGGTTTTGAAAGAAATGCAAAGCAACATCAAAAGTCATTTAATGCATGCTTTTTGTAAGCCCTGACGTGTTGTCTCTGCTATAACCATGAAAGCAAAACCCTTCAGTTCAAGATTTTCCTACTGCACAATGTCTCTGAGAGAGAAACTCATTTTGATTGTGGGCCCAGGGAATTAAAACAATAGAAATTACTTTTTTTTCTTTTTCTTACCTGTCAGAGGAGGGAGAAATCTTGGCCATCGCACTTACATCTTAATCCAAACTTCCTCAATGCTTGGAGCAGACAGATTGGAGCTGTTCTGGCTTACACAGCTCCAGATGCAAAGCTTTGTTCCAGCTGCTTCGAGAGGTTTCTTTGGATTTCACGCTTGGCTGGGGACCATCCCTGACAGGAACTTTATGAGCAGAGCCTGAACTTGTATCTTCTGCTTAGAAAAATACAAAGTACCCTGGGGCAGAGAACCAACCATCAGGGTGCTTCTCTGTGCAGCTTCATCCAGGCTGGTTGGAGATGCTGCTTCCCTCCTCTTCATCAGCAAAAGCCAGGTCCTTGTTTTCTTCGCTTTGGTATTTTTTTTCTATTACTTGATAATCTAAAACTCTTTTTTCCTTGTGGCATGCTTTTGGCCTTGTTCCTATTATTTCTGCCATGCTTCAGAGCAGCTGGCGGTGAGTTCCTGCCATCCTGGCCATAGCACTGACATCGTGCGTGCCACCATAGAACCCAAAATTCCGATGGAGCCAGTCTGATGACAGGGAGTCCAAAGGAAGAGGTTCCTTTTGGGGACCATGGGAAGGGTGGCAGCAGCTGCCGGAGATGTGGGACACCCTGGTTCGTCCTGACCTCTCCTCCTCCCTGGCATTGGCTCAGCCTTTCCAAAGACCCTGGAGTTGTCTGCCCACCCTTGCCTTGGTCCCCCCACCCTGTGCAAACCTGCCTGAAGCTGCTGGGTGGCTTCAGAAGTGGAGGAGGAAGGGGAAATGGAAAGATGAACCGCCTGGTGGCAGGGCCCTTTCAGCTTCCCCACAGTAGGAAATAAGCTGAAGGCAAGTTCCTTCTTTGGGCCACAGTCCCCTATGCTTGTGTTTCAAGCTTGTGCCTGATGCTGTGAACTAGGGGAAAAACTGCCATGGGATGCTACTTTGAGTAGTGCAGCTAAGCATGCCGCCAGCATACCACTAATGTGGCGGTGGGTAGGGATCCTCTGGACTGAGACCCATCTGTATTTAGCTCTCTGTGTCGCTTGCCCTGCTTGCAGCTTTTTATGAATAGCTGCTGCCTGCAGCACAGCAAAGCCCTCCTCACAGAGACCCCCCCAGCAGTCAGCCAGTGCTCTGAAGTAGCAGATATGGCTACTCCCAGTTTCTTACATCTTTTCCCCTGAAAAACCACTGTCTCCACAGCACGTGCCTTGCTCCTGCAGGTAGAGCTGCTGGCTGAAGCTGCCTCTTAATGCTCTGCTCCAGAAATCTTTTGTTTCACACCACAAAGAGGGTGTTGCAGCTGGTGTGGCCCCATGCCCCGGTGCCATGTTTGCAGTGTCCTTGCTATTTGTACTCTTCACTAATTGGGAAGCCAGGGAATCTTACAACCCAGCCACAAGTTCTGCTCGAGCAGGGGGGGCTGCAGCAGGTGATCACCAGGGGTCCCTTCCAACCTCACCCTCTGTTAGCACCAGCCAGCATCTTGTCCCAGGATGGAAGATCTCCCTGGGGAATAACACTTTTATTTTTGTGCTAAACCTGGGCTGCTGGTAGCTTCTGGTAGGCTGAGATGTGCCCTCAGCCCTCCATGTGCAAGGGGGCATTTTAAGGAGCAGAGTTTTAATGCGTTAAGGTGCTTAGAAGGGGCTGAGGCCTGGCTGAACCTGCAGCCCTCTGCGTGAGGGGACGTGGCCACAGGGGAGCAAAGCACTCGATGGGATGGGGTCCCAGCTAATGGTGGGGGGCACAGGGGCACGGTATGGGGGGCTCTTCCCCAGGGAAGGCATGGTCTGGGAGCAGAAGGCAGTGTGCTGGGGAGACCCGGCCTGCTCAGGGCGTGCCACTGCGCAGCCAGGCTGTGTAAGTGCCTTCTGGGCCCCAGCTGCTGCTCCAGTGTTACTGTGGTTAAATGGGCGCATGTTGTGTGTTTTGAGTGTTTTGTGAACAATTAAACTGCAATTTGTGCCAGCGTGACGGCTCTTCCTCGCAACGTGATAACAATTAAGTGAAGTGCAGTATTTAATGACCAGGATCTCATTTTCTAGAGGGTGATTGAGATTTCTTTTCCCACACTACAATGCTTTTTTTATTTTTTTATTTTTTTAATTTTTTATATATAACCTGAAGAACCACCAAGAGGAAAAGGGAACGGTTTGTCTAAGAGAAAGCACAAAAGCTTTCACTTAGACATATGTGTGCTGCGTTCCTGCTATCTCTTTTGCTGCTACAGGCTTTGCTGTGGGCCTGAAAAACTTCCACCTTTCTTCTGAGACATCTGAAGCGATGACCCTCACTGGAAGCTATGCAGCTACGGAGGAGTGCCTGCTGCTGCAAGGTGCTGCTTTCAGGCAAGCTGGTGAGCAGGGTCAGGTATGTCACTCGAGAGCATCACTGCAGCTCACTTCTCTTCTGCCCAAGTTCCCTTTCTGCAGTGGATGATTTAAGGTTAGCGTTCCTTTATTCGTGAGTTTAGTCGTAGCTATAAATAATACACAACTTACAGGGACTGCTAAGAGGATGTGCAAATTCAGCAACGAGAGACTGAGAACGCTGTACTCGTGTTGGTGGCTGTGCCTTTGCATGTTGTAACAGACGGAAGGACTAGCAGACATCTCTGTCTTCTGAGGACAAGCGTCCAGCACAAGCAGCTCTTTGGTTCCAGCAGGACCCCTCAAGTGATATACCACAATACCAACTAGGAATGATCTGATATATATTAAAAGATTTCCTTAGTTTAGATGATTAAATTGATTACGTTTAGATGATTAAACATTTCCAATAACAAAAAGCATCCGTTGGGTTTTGTTTTGTGTTGTAAAGGGCTGTGCCTGTCCTTACCACCTGCAAGAACATCAGTCTGACAGAACAGAGAGGGGCTGGTGCTCCCCATCAGCTTCAGTTCGCTGGTCTTTGCAAAATCAGGTGAAATTGCTGTGTTTGTCTGTTCTATTTCAAGTTCAGAGGACTCCTTTTTATTGTTCAAGTTACTATGAAAAACATCTTTTGGTAGCCTTAACTTTGAGACTGCAATATTTCACGTCTACGATCAGCCTTTCTGTGGTAAAGATGCAGCAACATCCTCTTTCTGTTTTGGCCCAGCCCACCTGCTGGTTTTGCATTCACTATTTTTGGTATTTTTGTCGTGTCATACTATACTACTCCCTACTCTTCTGTTTCTTTTCCTTACTTGTGACTCAGGTAACGTTTGTATCATCAAGATAATTTACTCTGAAAACACATTCAGTTTAAGAGAAAAATGCCGTTTTGAGCTTGCTTTGTGTTTCTTTCCAACCTCCCTCTCTCCCCCCTGCCTCCAATGATATTATTTCTCTGTGACTCTTTGGCACTAAATCAGACCTGTTTTTATTTCTTTTTACTGATGTACTGATCCCTACATGAAAAAATCACCAGCATTAACATTACTCATTGGTATGCATAGCTATAGCACAGGATGTTTTATTTTTTGACAGCTTCAGCTTTGTAAACTTCTCTGTAAACTGTGGGGAAAAAGCAGCCATTTTAGTACATAAGTGGGCTGAACTACAAACAGATACATTTCCCAGGCAGGAACTGATCTCCAAAATATTGCCGCTTTGCATGCAGTCGGGAATAAGATTGACTATTACATCTTTAATTAAATATGCCAAGTGAGTTGATCAAAAATGGCCAAGCTGAAAAAATGAAAGAATCCTTGATCTACATCTAAATATTCATTTTTCAAAGGAATTAGCTTTTTGTGGTGCCTTCCAATAGCTGACATTGATTTCAGCCTGTCAGCTTGCATCTACTGGTGATAATAAGGAGTCTCTGATAACATGTTGGTTTTTAATAAAGCTGTTTTTCCTCCAGAGATGCATGGATTTGGGGTCACCTTCTTGGGTTTTCCCTTTTGTACTCAATGAATGATTCAGAATCTCCACCATTTATTTATTTATGCCAACTGGCCAAGTTAATGGCTAGATACTTCAACACAGTATTTTACCAGGGTATATTCTCACCATGCCACTGGCTTCTGAAAACAGAATCAGCTTTGTGTCACAGGTAGGGACAGCAGCACAGCCACCAGCAACTCTGCAATGCTCAGCTCACTGGAGGGGAAGAGCCTTCTCTCTTGGGATAAGGCTTTACCCACAGCTTTGACCCAGGCTAGAAAAAAAATCAGTGTGTTACCTCAGTCTGCTGAGAACATTTGTCCTCGCCGACTATGAGTTGTTACACTCTGCTCTCACCCTCTCACCACCTCCTTTTCCACCTGACCTTTGAAGCACTGATGGGATGTTTTCTTCCACCCTTTGCTGCAGCTCCTCTCAGGCTGGGCAAGACTCTTTGCTTCCACCCAGGGAGTGTTTTTACTTCATCTGCTTGTCTGGTTTGGTGTGGGCACGTCCAGCCAGCAAACAAGGCCAGTTTGCTTTACAAAGAAACATGGTTTTATTTATTACATGTAATTTTTAATCATACATTTGACTTTTAAATTATCCTCGGCAGTGAACCCTCATCTGTTTTGCAGATGGAAGGCAGCACTTACTAACCAGCCTTTGTTGTCTGGGATATCCCCAGCCCCCAGTCAAACCATTCTGATGTTCTTCTGACCGCTTTCATCTTAACACTGTCCCTAAGGCTCAGGCTCCCTGGATTTCCCAAGCAGGTGGTAACTCGTATTCTGGATGCTTTCTGAGCTAGCACCCTTTGGGCTATCTGACCAACCTCCGAGGCAGGCTTTCTGAATCTGCCTGGGCATGAAATGCAAGGGTATCTTCATCTCCAGAGGCTCTCCTGCCTTGTTCCCAGCTTGTTCCCAGCTGAGGCCTTCTGGAGGGTTACAACAGCATGGAAGGGGCTTCATGGAGGCTGTGCTGGGTGTGATGCTCCAGAGGCTGCAGGCTGACATGCACAGCGCTAGCAGAGGGTCTTGCAGTTCTGCCAGCTGTGATGAGCAGAGGTGGTGCTCTTCTCTCAGGCTAGTTGGAAGTCAGGTGTAGTTTGAAAACTGCATCAGTGCTGTTAGCCGAAAATAATATGTAGTTGCAACATCTCTAGCTTCAATAGTAAAAAAAAAAAAAAAAAAAAAAAAAAAAAAACCAACAACAACAAACCAAAGACCAACAAAAAAAAAAAAACAACTACTACTACTACTGAGATCATCTACAGAGAGACCACGCCATGTGCAGCATCCCTTCCTTACCCAGGTAGAGCCACAGAGAGAAGCTGAGGAGGGCTCTGTTTCCAGGTATAAAATGTGATGTATTTAGCATTTCAAAGGTCAAGTTTTTCTTAACGTGCACATGCAGCACCACATTCCTTCCAGAAATTGCTGGCCTCTTGACATTTGTGTTTTAAACAAATTTCTGGCTAAACTGCTGGCATGTCTCTGATGTGTCCTTGAACTGTTGGCTCTTGTTCTGGGATCCCCCTTCAAGTTCAGTTCTTCATAGGCGCTAGCTGAAATGTATAACATTGGAAGCTAGTGGTTGGAGTTACTCAGTAATAAGTAGATTTGTTTGTTAAGTTAACTTTGGATAAGACTTTGCAGTGAAGACCTTTGCCCCTCTGTTTATAGATACTGTCAGTGCTGTCATCCGGGTTGGAGATCGGTTGTCTCTGCTCATTATTGGCTAAACAAGACACACAACCAGCTAGATACACCTCCTTGATACACATACATTCTGTTTTCTTAGGATGATAACAAGGCCATGATTTTGCGAAGGCTGTTCAAGTTACTGCTTTGGGGCAGAGCACTTTTTTGGGCTCAGGACAGGTACAGCTTAGGGCTTGGGTCAGAGCTGTCTCTGTTCTTTCAACCATGGCCAGTCCTCAGCCTACTGGGGTGGATGGTGTCCTTTTAAAAACAAGCATTCCCTCTGGTTTGGGGGGTGGGTGGCAGCTGGGCTGGGTTTGGTGGCTCCTGACCCAGTCCTTCTGCTCTTGGGAGCACAATGGATGGTTTCTCCTGGACTGAGGTTGGTAACACATTTTCTTTCTGAACCCTTTTGTTTTCAGCATTGATGCTTTGGATGTACCACAGCAGTGAAGCTCCGTATTTTAATCTCTTTTTGTGCATTTTATTTTTATTTTTATTGTTCTTTTTTATTATTATTTTATTTTTTAGTTTGGACTAACCCACCTTCAGTTTGATAGTTTGGAGAACGTCCCTGTATTTGGTAGTATGAGAGAAGAACAGAAGTCACTGATCAGTCTGTACCAGACATTACTTCATGTACTTTTATTCTGTCTCCATTGTTTTTTCTCTGAAGATAATAATCCCAATCTTCTCCATCTTTCATGAATTGCCATGCCCTTGCTCCTGCTTGCTGTTCTTTGAATCTTCTGAAGTTTCCAGTCTCTTTGAGATGGCTGGTCCACAGCAGTCTGCCTGAGATTGTACCACGTTTTTTCATTGCTCTTCATCCTATTTTATCTGCTTATAATCTGCTCACTTATTTTACCTGCACACTGAAGGGATGAAGTTATAAAGGTTTCTGTTGCACAGTGGAAAACAAAGCTAGGTGGCACTTCAGGGTAAAGGTGATGAACTAGGTTACTTCGTAAAGCATTCCCTGTATGTTTATCCAATCTGTTCCTAAAGACCATTCACAGCCCTCTAGGCTCTCCCAGTGTTTTGTGACCTTTGCTATTAGAAAGACAGAAAAATACCTGACCTAAAGAAAGCTTCCTTGCTACGATTTACCTGTACAGCTCCCATGGGCAGGGAAAACAGCTTTTTCCACTTGTCTGTGCAATGGCCTCTTACATATTTGAAGACTCCTATCATGTTTCCCCTCTAGCATTCTGCTTGGGAACAAGTGCAGTTCATTTAGGCTTTTTTAGTCATGTTTTCTTCATCTCTTTTCATTTTCACTGTCCCCTCTCTGACTGGGACGTGTATTTCCTTAGCTTCATGCCCCAAACCAGCCACAATACTTACAGCTGACATTTCAACAGCACAGTGTAGACTGAATGGGAACAAATTCTTTGAGTCTTGCACACTTGCCAGTTTGTATGTAACAGCATAAGGTGAACTTTTTTGGTGACTGCATAACATCAGTTCATGTCCAGCTTGTAAGCGACCATACTGCCCATCTTCTGAAACATCGCTGTCCTTCAGCTCCTCAGCTGATCCAGGCCTTTCCTTCCATCCTTACTGAGTGGAGCTCCAGCTTCTCCAGCTCACTCCTAGCTTATCCGAGGAGGTTGAAGTTGAACCTGGACACCAGTCGTTGTCATGGCCATCTCCAGCTTGGTGCAATCTGAAAATTTAGCAGTGTTCATTCTCTCGTTGAAACATTGAATAGTCTGGTCCAAATCTTGAGCAGTTTCATTCAATGCACTCTTATCCTTTGAAAGAAAATCAGTTGTAACTACTTTCAAGAAAGGTTTGCTAATTAGAGAAAATTCATCTAGTCCATTTCCCATATTTTATGAGAAGGGCACATGACAAAATTGCTTACTGACAGTAATAATTTACCTTCTAGCTTTTACCTGCCAAAAAGAAACCCCACCTGAAGCCATAGCTCAACTATTTTTTATTTGTAAGGTGTGTTAGCAGGTTGCCTGTTCTCCCAAATGTGCAGCTTCATACAGATGCCATGAACTTTTTTGGTTGTTGCATTGTTCATTCACCCAGCTTTTTTGAAACTCCCTCAAGGCTCCTTCACTCCCCTCGGGCCTGGTTAACTTGGTAACTTCAAATCTCTGTTTTCTGTTTATATCTATCATATCCCAGTTTACCATTCATCGCTTCCCAACCTGTATTATAACAACCAACATGAGATGGATTTAGGATGGAAGACTGATACCCTGATCAAAAATGACCATCTAACCCTACTTTCCACTTTCTGTCTCCTTGAATAAATGCTGGCATCAAAAAATGTCAAGTGTCTTTTGAAAGACAAAGTAAACTTTTTATTTTCCTTTTTCCTTACCCTTTTCCTTACTTTTCTGATACAATCGATAATTCTAAGAGTTTCATTCATAAAACTTGTCATAACATGATCTTCCAAATATTTTGAAAGATAATTCTGACTGGTTTGTCAGATAGGGATGTGTGGCTGCGTATTTTTGCAGGCAGACCAGCTATTTCAGCTTCTGACAGCCACTAGGTATGCTGTGATTTGAAGAATTGCTAATAGTCTCTTCTGTTACAATATTTCTGTATTATTCAGATGCAATTTTGAGAGTATTACCAGAAAAGACCAATAAAAGGAGGGCAACTCTGATGTTTTTGATTATGAAACTGCAAAACCCTAAGGTTTTCAAAGCCCTTTCATGCCTTTCTCATTTTCCTCCTCTTCACTGCCAACTGAAGTTTGAAATTTTCCTTTCTTCTGGCTTTTGTAGATTCAGATTTCCATACTCCGTTGGCTTTCCTATTGGCTCAAATAACATGGAAACTTCCCATTTAGCATAATGGCTTGATCCTTGTCCCTGGTGGGAATGTACATCATCTTGGACTTCATTGCTTTCAGCAGTATCCATGTCATCTCCACATGGTGATTTTTTTTAATTTTTATTTTTTGGTAAGTTTTAACTTTGAATGTCTGGTTATAAATATCAGTATCTCCCAGCATTATCCCAGTGCAATGAGTAGTAATGCAAATGTCCCCCACCTGCTCTTTCAATCTTTGAGTTTTGCTTTAAATTGGGTTAGACTCATGAAGAGGTGTGGTTCTGAATTTTAAAGCATAGTAGTTCCTTGTGTGAGCTCTCTGTGCATGTTAGTTGGTTTGATGCAACCTACAGCATTTTGTGTCAGTGAGTATATATTAAAGTAGATATAAAGTAGCTGCCGTATCTTGTCTCACATCTACACCAAATAACCTTCCCTTACGGACAAGCCTTTAGCTAATGCTATCTTTTGAATTAGATTCACTGTAATAGTTCAAACTAAAGAACTCAGCTGCAGTGGGACACTTGGGAAAGATTAAGATGAATTAAGTAAAGGTGTGACATTAAATTGCATTAGTTAAAGCCCACCAAATCCCTGTGTGGATGCTCTCCCTTTAACACATAAAATACACGTAGTTTCCTTTGCATTTAATTCTGAAAGGCTTAATCCTAAAATGTTCACACAGGGGTTTAAGGCCCTTTTCCTTTTCCAACTTCAGTTA